AAATACAAACTGAATAGAGAAAAGTATCTTCTGTATAATTCAGTGTTCATATAGAAGTATTTGTTTCGAAAGAATTTTTTCTTTCGTGTAATTCAATGTTTATATGAAAGTAGCTGTTTCAGGAGGACTTTCTTTCAGTTTGTGTCTGAAAGTTACTTCATGTTCTACACATCCATGTATAAAGTTACTTTTTTTCAAATTGATTACTTCCTTCCTTTTTTGGAAGATTCCTTCATCCCCCTTTTTTTGTATCAAGATGGAGTAGTAGAAAGCCAAAAACTTCCTCTCCCAAAAAAAATACTGAACTAATAACAAGGAAATTATTTTTTTAATCCAGTATTTTCTTATATCAAAAAGAAATTAGCAGTTGATAAAATCAATACTAATTTCTCCTACTTTTTAAATCTATAACCATAATTTCAATTTGTTACGAATAACTTGCCGACACAGAAAATAATTTCCATAAATTGATTATACCATAATGAACAAAGTTCTATTCACTTCTCTTTTTAGTTCATATAATATGCATAACGTGTTCCTTACTTGAATTGACTCCGGAGTTCAACAAAGTTTCCAGAGTTGTATGTCTGAAGAATAATTATCACTTGAAACTTGGGACTGTCCTTTATTCCCATTTGTATCACCTTGTGTCAAACTCGTCTCTATTTGATCATTGTTTTAAATTAGTGTGTTTATTACAGAACTTCATAAAGAGCATAGAGATTTGAAACGAAGCAAAATTGACAATAGAATTAGTAAATAAGCGTCTGTTGTTTGGTTTCTGTAAGCGTATGTATATTCAGTAGAGAAAAATTTGAAGAGGTGCCATAACACATACAATGTGTCACAGCTAAAACTTGTCACCCCCCTAATCTGCGAACTCGTGAGAAAAACTGAAAATCGCTCAAACCCGTAGATTTTCATTTCGAGAGGAAACATTTTCACCAAATACAAAATCATTGTGTTGTCAACCCCCTCATCCCCAGCACCCCCCAATTCAGAATTTTCAATGGCACTACTTATAATGCTGATACATCATTTTGCTCATACATCATTTTTTGAGAATCGATCAAGTGTTGTTGAAGTTTTAATGAAAACTGTAATTAATGTAATAAAATGTAATCATTATAAGAAAGCTTCAAATTTTGAACTATTCTGTTCCAACATTTGAAACCATGCGATTTTCTGACTTTATATCGCATGAACTCATGAAACAAAAGAAAGTTGCTCTAACATCTCCCATTAAAGAAAAAAAAAAGAAATGTTTGATAAAAGTGAAACGGGTACTCCAAAATAATTTCAGTGGTGTACTTTGAATTAACTATTTAATAACCGCGTCTTGAGGAAGTCGTTAGTCTTTTGTCAACCACTTTTTCATCTCCGTCTTTGTATGTTAATCGCTGGTTCTTGGAGATTACGTCGGTGCCAGAATGGCGCTGTAAAGGGCTCTCAAAAAATTATTGTTTCATGACGACTCCGTCACAGATGACTGAGAGACAGGTGGAAAAATATTCATGAGGCGACGATGTTCAATCGAAAATTGGAATCCCTTTTCGCCTGAGGGTCACAGACTGGAGGATTGACCTCTCCACGAACATAAAATATCCGTCTTTATTATATATATTTTTTCACCGAATGAGATTTTGGCAAAATTTTGATGAAATTTCACGAACTGTGCAAAAACAGTTTTTCTCACTCAAGTTGAAAGGAGGATACTTCTATACTGTGTTTCCTAATAATGAAAAGTAATTATTCGACTCATTTTCAGCCACTTCAGCCATTACCAGTACCTTCTTTATCGGCTTCCAGAGACTTCCATTACCATATATAAGCACTACCAATACACAGATTGAGAAGCTTAGTTGAAAGTGATAAACGAAGTGATCTAATAAGGCGATAAACATTTGTGTATCAGTCCGAAGTTTTAGTTAGAGTGTTTGTGTTGTATCGTCAGTGTAGCAGTGAAATGAAGTTTAGTAATTGTATAGTGTAGCCAATTATTACATACTCCTGCTCCGTTCGTTTAGAAAATATTGAAGATTGAAACTATCGGAATTTGAAACGTCAACAACATAGTCGTATATGTAATTATTTGTCTATGTCTGTCACATGGAAATTCGAGGGAACAACTAAACTGCACAACAAAAAATCATAAAATGAGTTCGATTCTTTTCAAGCTTCTGCTTCATACGAAAACGTAATTAAGTATAATTAACGTCTGCTACATTTCGTACAACGTACCTTGTGGATAGAGACACAGAGCCACTGTATTTCTCACATTAGGTTTTGTACTAATAGTCATTAATATAAGACTTCTACCACATTTGTTCCTGTCTTTCTTGAAACTTTCTGATAGACCAGTCGTTGAAGATACATTAATGAATCTGAAATGAGAAATATAGAGTAACGATGTTTATACATAAAGTGTTTTAATGAATTTTACAAATTTGTTTTACTAAATTTTTATTCCAAAACACCATCTTTTTTAAGACGCAGAACTGAGAGAAGTACTGAAATCAAATAAAAATAAAAAACACATGATGTAGTACTCAACTTACCGGTTGAAACTGATGAATGACTTGTGATTTCTACTTGTGATTTCTACATGAAGTGTATATATCAGAAATAGAGTCGTATCTCGTGTAAATAATTCATTTGAAAATTGTTAAGCGCGTTCTGCTTTTACGCCATCATCAGTGCGATACCTACAAGTAAGTAATTGTTGTGAAATTTGTTTGAAGTTGAACTTTAAATTATTTTTTGAATTACTTACTCGTCAATTACATACAAGAAGATCCTCTAGAATCAAAGTACAAAACCTTAGTAAAACACTACTCTGAGTAGACACGAACATTACACCTTTGGTTTTAACATTATGATATTTTGTTTAAAACCTTTTCATAAAATTATTTCCAACGTGCTGAATGACGAGTACGAGGAGTGAAAGAAAGTGAAAAATTGACATTGACATAAGATCATCATTAATTATATGTCATTGTCCAATTTTGACTTCCTTTTACTCCTCGGAAAACAAGATTCAAGTAGTTCAATGTGCCGGAGTTTTTTAAAAAGAATAATTCAACTCCAGAAGAAGCTATCACCAACGGAATTTGCTTTCTTTTCTGTATGTATGGAGCTCCTGAAAAAAACACGTGCTTAGATAAGTTTCAATATGCATGTTTCGTTAACCCCATCAACATTTTTCAAGGTATATTAAGCAAGTTCAAGTGTGCCTTGGTTATCGCTAGACCCAAAAGAGAAGACATGAGATGTAACACCAATGTACTTGCACCCAAGATAAAAAAGAAGAACAAGGAAGTGAAGAAGCGAAATATTAGAGGAGTATGCATAACAGTTCAGTGAAGTAACTTTTCTGCAATAGTTTTTTGGAACCATTTCGTATAATATGATCTGAATGAGATATTCGTCAGAATGTTAAGCTCAACTCTTACGCTAGTTGCACACATACCGATTTTGGACGGCCGACTTTGTACCGGTCGTCCAAATTCCAATAGTGAACTACATGTGGGAGCGGGACCTGGCACACACGCCGACCAGTGATCGTCGCCGGTAAAATACCGGTGAGCAGCCGTCCACTGCCACTGTATCGCCGGCAGTACCAGGAAGTTCCCACATGTGGTTCACTATTGGAATTTAGACGACCGGTACAAAATCGGCCGTCCAAAATCGGTGTGTGTGCAACTAGCGTTATTTGGAACCAGTATTGCGGAGGAAGGTACAATTGTATTACATTTGACAAAAAAAAGGAAGTGAATGAAATTTCTCTCACTGTTTGAGATTTCTGAACCCCATATTATATAAAAATATCCACTTCTTCTATTATCTCCTTGGGTTTAGTGCATGATAGTGCAGATGCGGTAGGTACTCATTACAAGGAATATGATACCTTTCACCCTCATTTATGGTATTTGTCAGTGCAGCAACACAGCTCAGGACTTTAAGGAGGGGGTGTTAGATTGAAATAGCGCTATAAAGGGAGCATTTTACCAATTTTCATTCTACCAAACAAAATCTTCGGATATTATTGACAAAACAATTATTCTGTTTCAAAAACATGTTTTCCAATGTTAGATCATCATCTCAGCGGCTAATTAATGCGCTGACTTGGTACTAAAAATAATGTGCACGCCGCTATGAAACTGCTCGATGCTTAGATTATTTTTTATAGTTATTTAATGAAATATGTCGGTAATATTTATGCAAAGTCAGCATTATTGGAATAGTTCTCGAGCATACGAATATCTGAACAAGCGACCTCACTTAGAACGGACTTTACTTACATTGCGTGCATATTTCAAGAGAATCATTCATTACGTAACTCTCACCTGTTTCATGGATGAGTTTATTATTCATGAATTCATATTAACAAAAATCATTCAACCAGAACTCCGTTGAACTGTGATAAAAACAGAATCATCAGTGATTCAAAATGAGTTTCACAGTTCCTTGATGAGTTTTGGGTTTGAAACATCTGACGTGAAATGAATCTAATGAAAACACTTATTGCATACCAAAGTAGAGAACTATTTCTCCTATTATGCAACTCCTGATGATGCTAACTTGGTTAGCGAAACGAGCATCGAGACAAAGGAATCTAATGGTATATGTAGGAAGAGTGTTTTCATTAGATATCCTCAATAGGGTCTTCCAACACGAACTTCCGAACTTTGACAATTGATAACGGCCATCTTGTTGAAGCTACATCTAGCAAATTAGTTGTCATTTATTCAGTCTGTTTTGCCAAATCACCATAGACAGATATAGCTTTCAACAACATGTGCAAATAATGAAATTGGTTTATCAAAATGGGTGTTCTGGGCAACGTACCGCGCTCTTTGTCCATTTTAGGGTCGTCATAATCGTTTCGCAATGTGGTGGGTGAATTCAAGTCCACTGGTTTAGTAATCAATCGACCAATACTCGTACGTCGACGAAACGCAATATCTGCCAAAAACATCGCCGCTGTCTGTGAAAGTCTGCAGGAGAAACGACCACAGAAAACGACGTATCTTCGCTGAATGGGCTTTGGAGCAGTTGGCAACTGGCCCTAATTTTCATCGAAAAATCCACTTCAGCGATGTGACCCATTCATCGGTATCCATTCATTAATAAGTCTTTTAAACGAATAAAAAATTTCGATGATATCTTCAAATGTAAAGATGGAAAAATCTTGATGAAAGACCCTTTAGTAACTTGCGCTACTCTTGATCTCCAGATTCATTCTATTTTTCTCTGTCTATGAATTCTTTATTTTTCAAAGGGTTTGATGCATACAATAAATAATCTAATGAGATTGAATCTAGTCCATCATTGAGTATAAAAAACAGTTATTGAAATCCATCCACAACGGTAGATAGAATAAAACTTGGTAAGATAATATTAATAAATATAGTATTTGTATGTTGTTTTCTGCTTTTTAACATTGTATTGGAGCTGCACTTATATTGCAATGTATTTTTAATAGCATATGTCATTATTTTTCAAACTAAAAATGTTTATTTTTCAATTTCTATGTTAGTAATATGTTTTCTATAATATTGTGTATTAGGATTACTTATTTCAATAAATATATTCTTCTTCTTCTCCTTTACTTTCTTGAACTACTTTTATCTAGCCCGCCCTCTACGAATTCTTTTCGTTGAGTTTCATAGACAGCTGTTATTCCTCTTGTTCTTCAAACATCTCATTATTTTTTTTGAGTGCCCCCGTTGGTTTTAGTGAGTAATTTTCTTCCATTGTTTTGATTTTATTAATGCTGGTTATAGTTTTGTATATATTTCCTTTGAAGAAAAATAAATAAATACATTACTGAAAACTCTTCACAAAGATGTGCATATTGTAATGACTCTGAAACCGCCCCTGACCGATATGCCGGCCAGCGAACAAACACATGACATCACCGCAAAAGGAATGCAGTCGGCAACCGCCGGTAAAACTCAAGAAACGAACCGACTACAGATTTCTAGAATGAACCGTTACACATTATATAAGCCCGGCTTCCCGACCCAAGGGTTCAGAAAGTGAATCGAGAGGTTAAACAAGGAATTCAAATAGTGGAGATAAATTAAGCGTTAGTTGCTAAGTGTTGTAAATAAATTAGTTTGTGATTAGTGAAACATTAGTGGAAATAAATTTGTTTAAAATAGTTAATTTTTTAATTTGTCACAATATCATTCACAGAGGTTTATTTTCATTAGGAACTGGAACAAAAAATCTATCCAAAATCCATTCACTTTTTACTCCCAACATTCGTATACTACCTAACATAGTATATGAAAGATTATATCAATATAAAATTTGATTTCCAAGACAAAATTTCACAGATGCACTTCTGAAAGTTTCAGAGGAAAACAAATTTTGAAATCCTAATCAGGACTTTTTTTGGATAATGTAATGTTTAGTCGCTGAAAGAGGTTTGTCGTACAAATAGTTAATTTTACGGCAGCCTTTAATTGGAAAGGTTATATTTTTTTAAAAAATCAGTTTTTGACTTCCTGGTACTCCTTATACAGAAAGTGCAAACTGAACGAGAGAAAGTTATTTCCGTAGTTTTCAATTTTATTCCAGTTTGAATCTGAAAGAAACATCTATACATGATCTAAACATATTTTTGAGGAGTTTTTATTATTACATTTTCTTTCTCCTATCTTTCTTCATAGGTGGAGAAGCAGAAAATCAAAAGACTGATCCCTCCTATAAATGTCCCATTTTCCATTGAATGTTTATTTTTGTATTACGCTTATTTTAATAAAAACTTTTTCGAGAGATAATTTTCCATTGTTTCACGAATGGAGCTTTGATCTCCCATCAAAGACATTTCAGAATTACAATTCTACTAAATTCCTCACAATCCAGAAGTAAATCCTACCTAATTGAACAGTTCCGGAATCAAAGCGTAAGGTAAAAGGAGAAAGCATTCTTGAATACGCAGGTTATGCCTTTATACCGAGATTCATACATTATGTATCTATACATTAAATATATACTTGAGCTATTTTTGAAATGGAAATTTCAGCAATTATTCTTTTCTGTGAATTCTTCCTGATTGAATTTTTATTTGCCGAGTTTAGAAACCAGATAATAGATAACAGTAGATTATTTCGCTCGTCACAGAGTATTCTTATACAGGGTGTCCCTGGACTTCCTCTTTTCCTCTCGGGAATGTATAGATGGGGTCAAAATATCACCAGTACTTCATATAACTTTTTTTCCTAAAAGTCTTCGTAACCAAGTTACGGGCCCTCGAAGTTACAAAAATCGAAAATAGTGAGACATGTAAAGTCGGTTGAATTAGGAAAAAGTTACTTATTTTAGAGCCTATTTAAATGACGCTTGAAAAGAACCAAACTTTTCTTCGACGTTATTTTAGAAGATATCAAAAAACAAATAACACTTCGTCATTGCCACTTTTCAAGCTATGATATACCATGACCGATTTCACTTTTTTATATAGACCCGAAAAAAGAATCACCCCTTACAAGTAAGCCTTTTGGTTCTACTCATGTATGAAAAAACTAATCAATAGAGTTTATTCTATGATTTTCACTATAAGGGTTTTACAAAAACCGCGACACGTGTTTCGCTATACAATTGCGTCTTCAAGCATAACTGAGAGTTACTTCTAAATGACAACATTATATACTATAACCTAGTACCTATTCGTCTACCTAAGTAATAAATCTACCTGAAAACTATACCTGGAAAAGTCAGGTATCAATACATTTTTCGAAAGTCTACCTGTTAATATACTTAACTATTTTTACCTGCGAATGAACAGATTCAATAATGGCAAATTATTCAATTCAGTTTGATCGTTCATAAGATGTTGACAGTTTTTGAATTTGTTTATTTCCATATTCTCCAACAGGTTAAGTTTCAAACCTTTCTTCTGGAAATGGAGGAATTC